AAAAATACTGAATTGAGGCAAAGGCAAGAGGAATCGCCTTTCATTGGTGAGCTGCAGTCAAAATAGGCTTAGAATTGTTGTTCCCTGCCTTTCACCCCATTGGGGATCCAAAATGGTTTAAATCAGGTATGTCCAACAGGTAGATCACGATCTACCACTAGATTGTGGAGGGGTCAGAGGTAGATCACCAGCTTGGTCTCACTAATGCACTCACTAATGAGCAAGAGCGAAGTTTTAAAGATTGCGCAAGATCAGCCTGGATCAATATTTGACCTACATTCAACACAAATAACTCTGAATAAAAGTTAAAGAAATTTATTGAGACAGTTAAAGTTATAATTCAATAAAAATAAAAAAAATGCTCACAGTTCTTTCTGGATCTTTGTCTCTCTGTTTTGTTTATTTTGCTTACCAGTAAATGACAGAAGGTGCATTATAAGGGGTGGGGGCATGGAATCCAACTTTAGTGGGTTAAAATCTAATTTGAAACTAATTTTAAACTTTATTTTCATGGTGGTAGATCATCATCACTTTTGGCTGGAAAAAATAGATCACTACCTGTTCGAAGTTGGACATGTCTGGTTTAAATTGTTCTCACCTCTATTGTATCCTCACATCAACAATCCTGTGAGGTAGGTGTGAAGGACAGGTTGGGTTAAAACAACCAATGAGAGCTGATGGAATGTTGAGAGGGGAGACTTGGAAGTGACAGCTAGAGGTTAGCATCAGAGGAGTTGGTAGCTTAGGGGTGCTGAGGAGAAAAAGAAGGATTTCTGACTGAGTGGAACTGTACAGAAGAGCTGCTTAGAGTAGGATGAAAATAGTAAATTTGTAATTAAAGAATCTCAGTTGTAGAAATAGGATCTGAGTTCCAAAGTTCAATGGAAGTGAAATGTTATTTATACCTTATGTGGTATGAACCCTGTATAATGGGGGGCCCTTCCCCAACAGTTCAACCCCTGCTGGTGGCAAAGACTCAGACAAAATGGTCAGAAAGAAAACAGCTTTTACTCTACTGCAGTAGATGTCGTTCTAGCTCCCCAGCTGAAAAAGACCTAGTACATAGCTTTCAGCCATCTTAAATACAGTTCTAATAATTCAATAATCCTGCTGTTTTCTAATAGCCCTGCCCCATTAATAATTTTAGACACCCTCCTCTAATGCAAGCCCCTTTTCTGATTTTCCCATGTTAGTTAATTCCAAATTATGTATGCACTTCTAGTTAGTCACCAATATTCAGCACATTTTGTATTTCTGGCATTCTTGCCTGTTTCCCTTCCTTTGACCTTCAAGAGGCCCTGTTCATCCCGCTTATCTATAAAGAAACAAATAGGTCAGGGAAGTTTTTATACCCTCTCAGTTTTGTAAAGGGGAGGATATTTTCAGACCTCCTTGTCTGTGCTGCCTGCATTTTCCTGGTGAGTAAACCTTTGCTTCTTTTGCAAATAGCAAAGTGATTGTGTGCCTGGGTGACCCAATTTCCTTCATTTTGGGCACTATAAGTCCTGCTATCATCAGCAGGTGGCCAGTTTTAAGACTCTAAGCTTTCTTTTCTGATGAGTGATGTGTGCCACAGAAGTTGCCACGGAAGCGGCATTTTTAATGCCGAGTGGATTATAAGGGCACAATCACATCGCAACATCTGGCCAGCGTGGCGCACCCCTCGCAGCCAGCTGAAGATGTGGAGTAAAAAGCTACCTCGTAAAGTCCAGTAGCAAATGGCTTGTGATGGGCCGCTGCCGGACTCTCTTTGTGTGATCGCTCCAGCGCGCTCCTCTTGCGTCATTAGAGCGCGCTGGGAACATGTGCCGAGGAAGGAAACTGTCATCCTGTCTGATCGCGTTTGCAGCGGGACTGTGCCGGTGCAAACAGCCACTCCCCCCCCCCGTTTCCAGGCAAGTGTGGACGGGACCATAGATCACCTTAGCCTAATTGGGAATAGCAAGAGGGGTGGCAATTTTCTGCAATAACCTGGGCAAAAAGGTCTAAGCTAAGGAATGATTTTCTACAAGCATCACGTGCACGGGTGTGTATGGTAGTGGTGAGCTTCCTGGCAGACCTCTCATGGAAAGGGGGGGGATGCAGAAGAGTATAGTTTGTTGCCAGGCCATGAAGACACAGAGAGAGAGAGGAAGATAAGGAGGGCCTGGAGTATAAAAGGGAACTCTAAAACCACTACCAGACAACAAGAGACACACCTCTTCAGTCAAGAGGGAACACAAATTCTGATTCTAATTAAAAAAGAAACATAGCACCCCAAAGTGCCCAAAGCATGGTGAGTGGCCTTTATTCCAACATTGACCCCACTGGCTCTGCCTTGGGTAGGTGAGGCCTAGAATCAGAGTCAACTTGTGCCTTTGAAGAGTTAGCAATCTACCACAGGGTATCTACTTTTGTATATATTTCTGCAGCTGTAATATTTAGCACACTGGGAGTATTTTGGGTTTGGGGAGTGGTGTTGCTCAGCATTGCAATGTCATTCTGATTTGTACCTGGAAATGCTGTCATGATGATCTATGAGTTCACCCAACTCTATGGTTTTTAACACAGAGATGGAAGCTGTTTTAGTCTTATAGATGCTGCGGATTTGTGTTCTCATGACACTGTATTTTTGCTTAAAAAGAAATAAACAGTTTATAAATTAAAAAACAAAAACAAAAAAAACACAGAGATGGACAAATTCCTAGATCATATGATTTTTCTCCTCCCACAGGAAGAAAGGGCCCTAACTGTGCCTGGAGCCCATGGGCAGGAGCTTGGCAGCTGCCCTCAAAAAAATGGCAAGTCTGCTGTCTGTGGCACTGTGAGAAATGGAGGCAGACTGAAAAAGGTCGTGGGGAGGAATTTTTCCTTAATTTTCTTTTGAAAGGAGCACATGACATGGAATTGAAGGGCAAGGAGGGCAGAAGAGAAAAAGAGTCTGTCTCCAAGAAAGGTGCAGAATGAATAAGGTGCTGCTTTACTGGGTGGAATTCTTGAAGGTCAGATGGAATTCTGTGCTGCTGCTGTTATAAAATGTGCCACTTTTTATTGTTTTTATTGTTTATTTATTTATTTATTTATTTTATTGTTATAAAATGTCCTGCTTTTATATTGAATTCTGTGCTTCTGCTGTTATAAAATGTCCTGCTTTTTTATTAAATTACAGCTGTAGTGGTTGTAGAGATAATAAATGTATAGCACTTTTGAATTGTTAGGAATCATTAACTAGGAACAGGTAGGATTCTTCTGTGGTTTTAATATCTTTAGTGACTATCTCTATTTATATTGTAGCTTATAAATGTGTATAAGTGTGCTTAAGACTTTTGGTCATGCAAGCCGAAATAAATTACATTATATTGTAGCCATCAATTTTACTTTCATGTTCCCAAGAATGAAATATTTAAATGTAAATTTCCTTTATTGTAATAAGAAAAGAAGCAAGAATATTCTGCAGTGGGCTCTGGCATGATTCTTTCCCAAATTTCACATAAGAACTTTGTCACGTCTAAAGGGGAAATCTTCTTTCAGCCTATGGGCTATGTATGCAAATTACAGTCAAAACTAAAGAAATCAAGGGGGGGGGAATCAACCCATTACTGAAGAATGAATTATCAGTCATTAAATAGTTATTCTATGTACAAAATAAATTCACATTACTAACTTGTCACATCTTAAGATATTAGCTTTGATCTTTCAGTATGATTGCTAAAGTTATCCTAGCTGAGGCCTTCAATTGACTCTTGAGAAGAAATATAAATGATGGCAGAACAGAGTATCAGATACTTAGGGCCTCCTCTTTATAAGCTGTTCTTTGTTGTTCAACGCTGGCCTCAGTATTATAATATAACATTTAGGGGAAAATATGAAGCCGAGTAACCCACCACTGGAGGCCAAGATGGAGAAGATCTCCACGGCCACCATGTATTTCCCTTTGGTGCTTAGGTAGGTGGGGACAAAGGACAACCAAACACTACAAAAAACAAACATGCTGAAGGTGATGAACTTTGCTTCATTGAAGATGTCAGGTAACTTTCTAGCTAGAAAAGCCACGATGAAACTTACTGTGGCAAGAATACTCATGTAGCCTAACACACAGTAAAAGAATGTCACTGATCCTTCATTACACTGTAGTATGATTTCTGTACTCAGGGAGTGCATGTCCAAATCTGGGAAAGGAGGAAATGTACCCAACCAAACAGCACAAAGGAGGACTTGAACAAGGGAGCAGGAGAGAACAACTGAGTGTGCCAGTATTTTCCCCAGCCTTTTTTGGAAAATGTTTCCTGGCTTGGAGGCCATGAAAGCCACCACCACTGTAATGGTTTTTGCTAACACAGAAGAAACAGCCACTGAGAAGACGATGCTGAAAGCTGTTTGTCGGAGGAGGCATGTACACTTGTTAGGCTGTCCAATGAAAAGCAAAGAGCAGAGAAAGCACAGAAGGAGAGACGCAAGGAGAACATAGGAGAGGCTACGGTTGTTGGCTTTGACTATGGGAGTCTCTCGGTGCCAAATGAAGGTTCCAAGCACTACAGCTGTCATCAGAGCAAATAAAAGAGCCAGAAAAGCTAAAATACTACCCAACGTTTCTTCAAAATATAGGAAAGTTGTGACCTTGGGGATGCATTGACTGTGTTCCATGTTTGGATGATGATCTTCTGAGCAGCTGATACACTTATCCATATCTGAAAGAGGAACTCTTTTGAAGTTACAATGATTATCACTGCTTGAATAATCTATCAAGCACAGCTGGATTTGAGTCCAGTAGCACCTTAGAGACCAACAAGTTTTTCAGGGTATGAGATTTTGAGAGCTTTCAAATCTCATACCTTGAAAATCTTGTTTGATCTCTAAGGTGCTACTGGACTCAAATCCAGCTGTTCTATTACAGACCAACACGGCTACCCTCTGAAACTATCAAGCACAGTATTGGCAAATTCAAGTAGCAGGAGATACACATCCCATCTCATCAAATAATGGTTCGGAACAACTGGATGAACTGTGCAACTGCTAGGGTCCTTGCACAAGTGGAAGTGTGAAAAAAATTACACTACCCAATGCACTAAATTAAACATAACATATTGGAAACTGTTTCTGTCTGTTTGTGCCAAGATGATATGCAGGGGATTTCTGGGTGCTATAAGACAGAGGAAAGAAAATGCTAGGTGTTGTGCAATGTCTTCGGCAAGCACAACTGCACCAAGTTGGTTTATGTTTCTGCTTGCCCATCATTGGATCTAATCTATTTCCAGCTACATAACCTGGAGTTTTTTTCTGTAAAAAGTATGCATTTCATGGAAGTCTAGCATTGGTAAAATAAATTATTTTAATTCCTTTTTGTTCAATTACTGTATGAAATCCAAAAGTCTGCTTCAATTCCACCAGGCCCAATGCTAGTCTGGGAGCATATCTGGGAATTTAGCCCCATAGGGAAAATGTACAACAAAGTCCCACGTCTTTGACTGGGAGATTAGTGTTACTGGGGCCCTGCAGTCCACTCTACATCTCAGCTTCAGGCCTAGAATCATGATAGAGTTGACATGGCAGGCAACCAGTGGGGACGAGGACATGGGGGCACACCATTGTATGTGCTGTTACATAACTTCTGGGGAAAACCTAGCTGTGACATGGGGTAGCTCTAGGAATTGCTGGAAGCTCTATAGTAAGACCATAGAGCTTGCGGTGATTCTTAGAGCTATCACCCATCACCTCTGGGGTTTCCACAGAAGTGATGAATAGCTCGCATGATGTTGTCAGTTCTTTGTTTAATTTTTCTCCTGCCAAGTGTTGATGGGCAATGAGACTTGAGGATGGGCGGATTCCCCACCCTGATGGGGGGGACTGGCAGGCCTAGATCACAATAGTATTTAATTATATATTAGAATGCAATTCAAAGTTTATCTTTATTTATCTTTCTTTAATAGAGCTGCCAAGTTGCCTGTATTGCCCTCCCATCCTTTGTCTTAGCCTAGGGTTGCCAACCTTCAGGTGGGGCCTGGAGATTTGGAATTACAACTGACTACAGAAATCAGTCCCCCTGGAGAAAAGGACTGTTTTGGAGGATACACACTATGGCATTATACCCCACTGAAGACCCTCCCCCAAACCCAAGCTTCCCAGGCTCCACACCCAAATCTCCAGGGATTTCCCTACCCAGAGTTAGACACCTTACCCTGGTCCCCATTATTGCCCTAATGAGTAGAAGGGACAAATCAGTGAAGGGGTTAATGGCTAGGCACTCTCAGCTTGATTTCTGGCTTAAAAAAACAGAAATTATGTCAGTGCTCTAGGAATCTCATGATTTCTATTATAAACCCCCAAGAAACTAGGGGATTCCTAGAATGTTGCACAACACCATGATGTCATTTCTGGCATTTTTAACCAGAAATAACATCATGGCATGACACCATTCTCAGCGGTCTCTACCCTCCTCATCCTCTTATCAACACAATTATTTAAACAACTACATTGAGAAACTCTTTTTCTTCATGGTGCAGGATACATTTTCACTCTACAGCATATCAATGTACATTACATTCAACAATATATTCAACACATGTTTTTAAGAGAATCTTACCATCCTCATATGCAATCATCTCTTCTGGACATGGTTCACAATTATAGCAGCAATATTTCTCTCCCTCCTTCTTCGTCTTACTGTAACCAGGCTGACAGTTTGCATTACACAAAGACATGGGAGGCACCTATGCTTGCACAAAGAATAGATACAATGTTAGTCCCTGACCTAGATAGTCCAGGCAAGACCGATCTAATCAGATCTCAGAAGCTAAGCATGGCCGACCCTGGCAAGTACTTGGATGGGAGAACTCCAAGGAATTCGAGGGCCGGGCAGCAGAGCCAGGCCATACCAAGCCACCTCTCTGAAACATCCTAGCCCCACTAGGGGTCACCAGAAGTCACCATGACTCCCAGGCTCGCAAGCACAAACACACACACACACACACAAATACTCACCAAAAATAATAGATACAAAGTTGTGATAGTGGTTGAGGATTTTTGCTTTTTAGAAATAAAAAGAATTATGACGTGGAATGTACTTCTCAGTGGTAAGATCTCACTTGAGACTTCCTTGGCACCAATACTACACTGTCTTAGCCACCAAGCCCTATTTATTCATTTTAACCAGGTATTTAATAAAGAGTTTGAACTTTTATCACCATCTATATAGTTTACTTTTATCCTGAAAACTATCATTTTAAAGTGTTGGATGCTTCATGTATTTACATTTTGCCTGGGTTTTTAATGCTGAGGTTGTTTTTTTTAAATTATATACTTTATTAAAATATAAGTCTATAGATTAACAGATAACAAACAACATTAACATAGATATATATACCTTGATCAGAGATTATAGTACGTTAAACCTTATAAATATTTGGTGAATATTCTTTAGAAAAAATACACAATATTAATAGAAGGAGTACAATTTCAACACTTATATATAATATATAAGCATATAAATAATACACAAAACAAGGTAATTAGAAGGAGGAAGCAGATGGAGAAAAGTGGAAGTAGCTATTCTAAAATGTCAAGATATAATCACATCAGTCAGTCCAGAAATTGCTTAATAATGGGTACCATTTCTCTATTGAATCTCTTTGATTTGTGCTATTGTCATGGCTAAATATGTTAATAGAAATATTATCTAATGTTCAATACTCCCAAAGTTTAGTATGCCCTTGTTGTATGCTAGAGAGGGATTCTTTTATCCAACATGAAGCTATAAGAGTTTTGGCAGCTGTAAGCATTGTCATGATGAGTTCCCTATGAGCTTTAGGAGTTCTTTTACTCTTCTACAGATTGAGAAGGATTGCTTCTGGGGTTTGGGGGATATCATATCCCATTGTCACGATTGCGCTGGTGGGCCAGGCAGGGCACGGAAGTCCGAAACACAGTCCGAGGTCAAGGTACCAGAGAAGACAGAGTAAAGTGAGCAAAGTCCAAAACACCGTCAAAACATAGCCTAGGGTTACTGGAGGTTATATTAAAGAGTTCAGAAGCCAAAAGCCATTTATCAGAAGTCAGGGTACACAGTCTGTAGTCAGGGGAGCCGGAAAGAAACAACATCACGCAAACCAGAGTCAGGAGCCGGGAAGTCAGTACAAAAACTAGGAGACAGGAACGCAGGATCCGGGGTGCAGCAAGTCGTCCAAGAGACTAGTTGCCAGCATGAGTTGTGGATCTGAGAGAGCCGCCTAAAGAGCCCGTTCCGCTTGTTAGCCAATTACCAGCTGCTAACAGGGTCCTGCAGCTTTGAGAATGACAGGAGTACTCCGTCCATGAATGTTAGCTGCATAATGACCGGCAAAAAAAAAGCATCCATAAAACTATTAAGAAAGCTGTCCCCCTTTTTGGAAGACTTCATGCAAGGAAAAGCGGGGTTTTAGTTCTGGAAACGCCCGTTGGGGCTTGACTTTTTAAAACACTGATGCAAAATGGTCTGGTAGTTATCAATCTGTATGTACTGAATGTTATTGCTTATTTAATAAGAACATAGGAACATAAGAGATGCCAATGTTGGATCAGGCCAAAGGCCCATCCAGTCCAACACTCTGTATCACACAGTGGCCAGAAATACCAGTGCCATCAGTAGGTCCACCAGTGGGGCCAGGACATTAGAAGCCATCCCACTGTTGACCCCCCCAAGCACCAAGATGACAGAGCATCACTTGCCCCAGAGCCCCTATCTATACCTTGTGGCTAATAGCCACTGATGGACCTCTGCTCCATATGCTTATCTAATTCCCTTTTGAAGCCGTCCATGCTTGTAGCTGCCACCACTTCCTGTGGCAGTGAATTCCAAGTGTTAATCACTCTTTGGGTGAAGAAGTACTTCCTTTTATCCGTTCTAACCCGACCGCTCAGCAATTTCATGGAGTGCCCACGGGTTCTTGTATTGTGAGAAAGGGAGAAAAGTACCTCTTTCTCTACCTGCTCTTTCCCATGCATAATCTTATAAACCTCAATCATGTCACCCCTCAGTCGTCGTTTCTCCAAGCTAAAGAGCCCTAAGCGCCTTAACCTTTCCTCATAGGGAAAGTGTTCCAACCCTTTTATCATTCGAGTTGCTCTTTTCTGCACTTTTTCCAAAGCTATAATATCCTTTTTAAGGTGTGGTGACCAGAATTGCACACAGTATTCCAGATGAGGTCGCACCATTGATTTATATAGCGGCATTATGATATTGGCTGATCTGTTTACAATACCCTTCCTAATAATCCCCAGCATAGCATTGGCCTTCTTTATTGCAGTCACACACTGTCTCGACATTTTCAGTGAGTTATCTACTACAACTCCAAGATCTCTCTCTTGATCAGTCTCTGCCAGTTCAGACCCCATCAACGTGTATTTATATTTAGGATTTTTGGCTCCAATGTGCATCACCTTGCACTTGGCCACATTGAACCCCATTTGCCATGTTGACGCCCACTTGCCCATCTTTGACAGATCCCTTTGGAGTGCCTCACAATCCTCACTGGTTTTCACCACCCTGAACAACTTCGTATTATCCGCAAATTTAGCCACTTCACTGCTTACTCCCAACTCCAAATCATTAATGAACAAGTTAAAAAGCAGTGGACCAAGTACTGATCCCTGCGGTACCCCACTGCTTACCCCCCTCCACTGAGAGAACTGCCCATTTATACTCACTCTCTGTTTTCTATTAATTAGCCAGTTTTTGATCCATAAAAGGACTTGTCCTTTTATCCCATGATTTTTGAGCTTACTTAGGAGCCTTTGATGAGGAACTTTATCAAAAGCTTTCTGGAAGTCAAGGTAAACTATATCTATTGGATCCCCCTTGTCCACATGTTTGTTCACCCCCTCAAAGAACATTAACAGGTTAGTGAGACAAGATCTTCCCTTACAGAACCCATGTTGAGTCTGCCTCAATAGGTTTTGTTCATCTATGTACCTACTAATTCTTTCCTTAATAATGGTTTCCACCAATTTACCCGGTATCGACGTCAGACTGACTGGCCTGTAATTTCCCGGATCTCCTCTGGAACCCTTTTTGAAGATGGGAGTGACATTAGCTACCTTCCAGTCCTCAGGAATGGAGGCTGATTTTAATGTAATGAATATTTATACCTGACTAGGATGAAATAATGATACACTATGCACTTTACTAAATGATGATTATAAATAGAACACATTAGATTGTTATAAGGTTTTTGCAGTGCATATTTATTTGTTGCTAGATTTTCATGGAGGGAGCCATATGAGATGACATCAAAGAACCTAGTAAGATGGGCCCTCTGCCAGACACCAAAAGAAGTTATGCTGAGTACTGGTGGGAACCAAGGTTGTCCTACAAAGCCAGTAAATAGTGATGTGGATGGAGACAGTACAGCACGATTTTTATGCCAAACCTGGAATTTAGCATCTAGGAAGGGATTATTTTGATTAGAGTGTTTATTTCCTTGGTTGAACCATAATGCTTCTTGAAAGGATTGAGAGGCTAGGTAGTAATCTTCAATAGGTTTCCAATTTGCCAAAAAGTTTGCTAGAATTACCATCTGATAATATGCGTTTAGTTTGGGTACTGCCAGTCCACCCTGTTTAATTGGCCATTTGATTGTGTGAAGATTTATTCTTGGGTGTTTGTATTGCCAGAGAAACTTAGGCTGATTTCGCACTAGAGCTGCCTCGATGTTGCACCGCCGTTTGCCCCGATACTATTGGTCAATTTCACACCCGAAGCTGCGGGGCTGCATTTTGACTCGCGGCTTCGCCCGATTTCCCCCGCAGGCTTGTGATCCTGTTTTTTGAGGATCACGAAACTGCAGAGGAAATCGGGTGAAGCCACGGGTCAAATGCAGCCCCGCGGCTTTGGATGTGAAATTGACCAATAGTATTGGGGCAAACGGTGGTGCAACATCGAGGCAGCTCTAGTGCGAAATCAGCCTTAGTGAATTCCTTTTGCCAACTTTCTAGAATTTTATCTGGGACACAGGTAGTGCCCTCATATAAAATAATAATTTGGGGAATAAGAAACTTTTAACTATGGCTACCTGTCTTAGTGCAGATAAGCAATGAGTGTTCAAGTGTTCCAGTATATCAGAGACTAGTTTGCCTGCTTCAAGGTCATCTAATCTTAGTAAATCATCTAACCAATGGATATTTAACACCAAGATACTGCCAGTACTGCCAGTTATATTCAAAGTTCTGTTTGATAAGTGCTTCACATGAATTGGGCATATTTATTGGATAGAGCTGAGTTTTTGAATGTCTTCAGACAGTGCTGGCTCTTCGGCTTTGAAACGGAGATGATCACTGCAACCCTAGAGTCGGATTCGACTGGCTTTCGAGCAAGGGAACCTTTACCTTTACCATATTAATTTTTTTCAGAACCTCGGCAATTGTTGGTAGAGATATATCTGGATGTGACACATACAGAACTAGGTCATCTGCAAATAATGAGATTTCAAAGGCTCCTCCACTTATCCTAATTTCTAATATTCTGTCATTCTGAAGGATTGAATGGGCAAGAGGTTCCATGACTAAAGCAAACAGTAATGGTGAAAGGGGGCACCCCTGTCAAATGCCCTTTGATAGTTTTATAGGATGTGAATGAGTGCCATTGATCCATATTTGTGCTAGCGGCATATAGAAGTGAGATTTAATCACTGTTTGAAATTTTGTTCAAACTTCCATGGCTTCTAGCAGTTTCAGTATATATGAAATTTTAACTGTGTCAAATGTTTTTTCTATATCAAGTGACAGTATGCGTGCTGGTTCTTTTTTGTGATTTCTGCTGTAATGTACAATGTTAATAATTTTTCAATTATTATCAATTAATTTTCTTCGTGATATGAAGCCTGTTTGGTCTATACAAATGTACTTGTCAACATGCCAAGTTCCATAGCTACCTCGGCTGTGTTGGAGGTTTTCTGAAGGGAAGCTTTGATTTCCTCCAGTTGCCCCATGATTGGTTTAAGGAGTATTGTAATGCCATCCAGTATTTCACCTTTTAAATTTTAATGGATTTTGTCAGGCCAGTTAGATGACTTTTAGTTAGTGTTTCCAGTATGGCCGTGATATCGACAGATATCAGTGATATCAATGGCTATTAGCCACAAGGTATAGATAGGGGATCTGGGGCAAGTGATGCTCTGTCATCTTGGGCTTGGGGGGCCAACAGTGGGAGGGCTTCTAATGTCCTGGCCCCACTGGTGGGCCTCCTGATGGCACCTGGTATGTTTGGCCACTGTGTGACAGAGTGTTGGACTGGATGGGCCTTTGGCCTGATCCAACATTGGCGTCTCTTATGTTCTTATGTTCTTATGTTCTTATGACACTGGGGAAGTTCCTGCTTTGGCAGCCATTTTGGCAACCTTGGCTCACAGGGCTCCCTTTGTCTCTGTCTTCTTCCCAACAATCAGGTATGTTTTCAGGGGGGCAGTAATTACTTTTTGTGTTTTGTTGTCCCCCTGCCTTTCCCATAACCAGCAATTAAAACATTGTTGTTGTCAGATCAGTAATCTGGTAGGAGAGGGTGGTTGGGATGGAGTACAAGCCTCACACATCTACTATAAAACTAACTGCCAATGCTGAGTTTTAATGAACAGCTTATGAGCTTAAAAGAAATCGTTTTGCTACTTGGCAATATACTATACCTATGCAATGAATGTCATGTTTTGAGCAGATGGTGCATACAGTAAGATCTACATTTTTTTAAACCTGAAATCTACTGCCTACCTGAGTCAGTCTCATGTGCCACTCAATCCTGTCCTCATCAATGGTCAACTGTTTGCCTGGAGGCACCTGAGGATCCAGCTTACCCACTTTGACCCTGACATAGGAGTTATTTGGGAAAGTGATCAAGTTTGTGATATCAAACTCAACTGCCAATTCTCCATGTTCAGTAAACTTGACTTGATCTCCAGCACTATTGTTGAATGAAATCCTCTGAAGAACTGAGTGGAGCTATGGGGAAAGAGAAAGAAAAACAAAGGAATATTTCCACTAAGAATTTTTAAACAAGTTACCTAGACTAGTTCAGGTTCTTGTTATCTAGGGAGAAGCAAGGTCATCATACAGATGATCTATAAATGATACTGAACAGAGTCCCAATTCAAGCACCAGACACAGAAAGAGTGATGGTAGACAGTCCCATAAAGTCACAGCTGATTTAAGGCAAGAGATACTCAGAGGTGGTTTACTTCAGCATCATGACCTTGGTATTATATGGAGGTGTCCCATCCAAATATTAGCCAGGGCCAAGCCTGCTTAGCTTCTGAGATCTGTTGAGATCAGGCTATCCTGGGCCATCCAGGTTAGGGCATAGGAAGAAAGCAGCAGTTATAATCACAGAGACATTCTTTGACACATCTATCAGGATAGTTGCTCTGGTGGAGAAAGCCCATTCCCCTGGTGAATGGCTACTTGCACTGGAAGACACTTCCGACAGTACACTTAAAAATTTCCTCCCACCCATTGTGTTTTTTGTGTCATCAATATTTGAAAAAATATAGGAATATGAGTGTAATGTAGTGATTAGAGCGTCAGATTAGAATCTGGTAGACCCAGATTCAAATCTCCACTCAGGCTTTGACCTTGAGTTAGTCACTGTCTCTCATCCTAACCTACTTCACAGATGTATTACGAAGCTGAATGCCCCAAATTTCTTGGACGAAGGGATGAATAAAATGTACAGATAGATGGATGACTACATGGATGGATGTACTTTGAGGGACAAGAGAAAAAGAACAATGGCTACATTGTTTGGAACTTTATTGGTCAATGGCTGGCTAACTAGGGTATGACACTCTACCATACGGTATCCAAGCAATTTCAAGAGAAAACATTACCTGCCAAGGTTGTACACTCAGAAGGGGCATCAGTCTGTCTCTGTTCTCCATGGGTTTGTTGTTGGAACTAGATGCATACAAAGCATGCAATGCATGGGCAACATAATAGACAGCATTGTAGATGCTATAGCTGTGACCGGTCATGCTAATTTCAAAGAAAGCTTGAGGAAGGCTGTCCAGACTGTCTTCCCAGGTACATGTTTCAGTGTCATTCATTAGTGCACTGGGATCTGAAACAGAACAACCAAATGCTTGCTTCCAGAAACCCTCCATGAACCCGTTTTCCTTTGCTTCCAAAGGGTTTATATTCTGAAGAAACTCTTGGAATCCTAAGATCTCATTGGTGTGAGGACTGAAGGAAAGAGCCCCATGGTATATTTGTAAATCCCATTCCTTTCGAAAAAGATTGAATGTAAAATCAATCTGGACCATAGCAATCCACACTTTTCCTGCAGATGTCTTCCTTTTATATTCAGGAAATATTCCTGGAAGCACTACTGTGGTCATCCATATCATAATATCCAGCCACATAATGGTTGCAGTTTCCCCATATACAATAAATACATTGGCATTGCTCTCCATGAAAACTGGAACATTGTTGCTCATGTAAGCAATGATTTCCTTTGTGTTAAATGACCCCAGGCTTTTTGTAGCTCTTTGCACGAAAGCTGAACAGATGCCATTCTGGGAAAGCAATGGCTCCAATATTTGCAAAAACTGGTCTCCATTGTCCCCTTCTGTAGCAATGAGCCCTACCCATTTCCATCTGAAATGCAAAAGTAACTGGACCACTCCAGTGTACTGAAGGGTTTCACTGGGGACCATGTGGTAAAAGGAAGGGAAATTGGTTGCATCATCCTTTCCCGGTTCAAATGAGCCATATGAAAACTACAATTTTTAGAAAAGGACATATTTTTGAGATGATAGTGAAGGAATGGGAAAGGAAGGAAGCAACATGGTATAGCCCGATTTTGTCAGATCTCGGAAGCTAAGCAGGGTCAGTACTTGGAAGGAAGACCACTAAGGTAGACTCTGCAGAGGAAGTCAATGGCCAACCAGTCTAGCTTCTTGCTTGCCTTGAAAGCTCTTTGACAGGGTTGCCATAAATTGACTGTGACTTGATGTAACTTTACACACACAGAAGGAATATGTGAGGGCACTTGTGATTTGCTTATGAATTTTAGAAGGAATCAGATTTCTATCCCAATTATGCATCTTGAGGACTCCCAGGACTGATTATGTTGATTTATAAAATGCAATTAAGCATTCTAAAACATGAAATGAGACCATAATTTTTTAAAAAGAAAAATCTATGTGTGATACGTGATGCTAATGTGTGATACGTGATGCTATGTGTGATACGTGATGCTATTACATCCAAGTAAGCATGTTTAGGATCGCACTTATCATTATAATGATCGAGTCAATACATTTTGCTGAAATGAGAAAAATAAGAACCTTTGTGACAGATGGCATGCCATAAAACTGCACAAAAAGAGCTCCTTGCTTTGGGCAGTTCTTATTTTTCTGTTACAAGAATAATCTGATTAAAAGATTCTCCCCCTTTTAAGGTGGATGATGGGTCCAGGTAATTGGGTACCTAGTTTTCTAGCCTCCCCAGGACATCTTTGACACCTTTACATTATATTTTATAGATGGAGGTCTGGCAAAGGAGGAAGTATTAGTGTTAAATAGTTGTGCCTTAGAAGTCCAATGGAACAAACATTTTGCAGCAAAGAGATAGGAAATTTTAGCTGTTGAATGTCTCCCACTTATTTATCTGTTAGAGATTCAGGAATTTGGGCCCAGGAAACACAGAAACCTGTGACCCTGCTGTATTAGAAGAAATCTGAGAAATATTTCAAGTAGAAAAGCCAAGAAATCCCAGTTCAGAAAGAGGGGATAGTGTTCTGGTGAAAATGAAGCAGATGGAATAAGAGAATGTGGAGGGTGATACATTGACTGATGGGATGGGGAAAATACACCAATACGCAAGATCCAATTCTGTGGAATAACAGACTATTTTGCCATTGAGATAAGCCTATATTTCTACTTTTAAAATTGTCCTGGAGTTGCTCCAGCCCAAAAGGGTAATCTATTACGCCAATAAACTAGCAAATATAGCCTTGATATCTGGGCACAATAGGGGAATAGTTCTTTGATTCTTAATTTGTAGTATTGTAGCCTCGGTAATACTTAAGATTTCCCCTCCCATTCAGTTGCCTCAAATTCTGTCATCCTATTTTCCCTCTCCCAATGTATTAAAAAGCTTGTGACATTACTTCCTCCCCTAATAAACAACATAATAATATCAGTCTGAGCATGATGGTACCTACAGAGAGCTTATCTTGACTTAAACTGGGGCATAGTGGAGCATACAGAAACAGTAACAGCAGTGAGCCTCTTGATCCAATAGTGAAACATTAAAAATGTTCTGTAGCACAAAACTTTGGTCCAGCAACACCATAAATACAAAGAAAAATTCCAGCACATACACTTTCGTGAGTTAAAGCTCATTTTTTCAGGTACAAATACCTGTCAGATTTCTATCTGCACTTGAATTCGGATGTACTAGCACAGTAACTCAGCTACTCACCTGAAAATATATTCTGTAGGAGTACTGAGTTCAACTAGAAATTAAGAGAAGCAAGATGGATGGGAATTGCATTGTGAATGGATTCCTGCACAATGGTGGGGAAAAAAGCAAACTTGAGGCTAAAGATTCAAGCAATGACTAAAGGGAGAGTTATCTGAAACACCTCTGATTGGTGTTCCTATTTGTACTGATTTTCTTTCTTCCTCATAGTCTTTTGAGGTAATTAAAAAAAAAAACCCTTTCCATTTTATACACACAGAGTCTTGGGCATCTTGTACTATTCAGCCACTTTCCAGATTTCCTTTGCTTTTCTTTAAATCCTACATTCCCCCTTTCTAAGCCATCAATTTGCTATCAGCAAAAGAATAGAATACTGGATTTAGGTAAGAAAGGGGAACACCCTAGCTAATTCCACACAGAGATCCTACCTGTGGAATCTTGTAAATGCGCAGTATGTTCACCATGTGTGTAGAGATTTCAGATTCAAGTCCTCCTATTAGTCTATTCTGGATGCCGCATTTGTAGTTGGGGGTAAACCGATGAGATTTGAAGAGAAGGTCCATAGTGGTGCGATAGGTCATCCTTGCATCAGAATAACTGTCATGGATATGGAATCCAAGAGTAACATTGGGTAGGATCTTGGGATTCTCATTGATTTCCTCAATTGCAAATGCCAAGGCCAGGAGGTGCTGATAGAACTTGGTCACCCTACTGCAGATAAAGCCAGTTGATGAAAGTTACAGGAGAATACTCAGATACAGGAAATCATTTCATCACAGTTTTATCATTTATGTCACTAGAGACTCCTGACAGTATGAGAGGTCACAATCCAGGAAAGTCAATCATGAGTAAATTCCATTGGAAACGAGGTATTTGGGTCAAGGTTTACTTCTGCTAGATTGTGTCCATGGATCTGTATATCTAAATGTGTTTCTGAAGAAATGAATCTGGCATTCTATTAATCTGAAGGCTTCTTCATTGTATCCTTCATCCTTTCTTTTGTCACATCTTGAACTATGGACACATCTTGAACTTCTTGAACTATTTAAAACTATCTGACAAAGGAAGACTTGGATCTTAAAAGCTTATACCCTGGATATATTGTTGGTCTTTAAGTTGCTACTGGACTTGAAACTTGCTCTTCTACTGCATACCTAAATGTCTTTGAACTCTCTTGAAACTGTGCATCTTTGATTACATAGATCTGGTAAGAGTGTCTACTAGTGCCCCTTTAAATATATGGCAATTCATCACAGAGGTACTAAGATCTGGTAATGTGTAATTGACTCGTTAATGGTTAACGTTTCAAAGGTTCTTGTCCTTTTTAAGAAAGCATCTCACTGTGTCTGTTTTATTCACCCCATCATCAATGGCTATAGTTCATTCATTCTTTTAAAGTGTACTCTTCCACCACACACACACACACACAAATCAAGCATTCAGACATGAACAACATGCATTATTAGCCACTATGAGTCCAAGGACAGGATTAAATTTTTTTCAATGAATAAAGTGTCATTAAAATAAACTCAAAGCCCATGTCATTATTGAAAGATTGACTCGTTCCTTACAGTGAACGTGCTATCAGGTTCTTGACAGGCTCTTCCTCGAAGGAAACTTTGGGGACCAAGTAATTGATATGAGATGTAACCCCACCAATGAGGATGTCACCTGGCTGGTACCATTCATATGGAATATACACAGGATCAGTCATAGAACACCCGATAGTATCTGCTTTGCACACCATGTAAAGGAGAAACAACAGCAGCAAGAGCAGAGACTCAGCCATGCTTGTTTTAAGATGCATATGGTCCTGGATTGCTGTACGATTCCAGCACTGGCATCTACTCAGTGTAAATATGCTGTCTTGCCTGTTTCTTCTAATTCACTTCTTAAAAGGATGTATAGCAAACATCCTTTGATTCAAGAGTCCTGTGCACGAAAACCTTCCATGAGTCTTCCAAAGCATGACCCATACAAGTGAAGAAGGAAGCGTATTCAAATCTGATGGAGACCAGTTCTTCTCTGGGTTCTTATTTTAACTATGAATAACACACTTGGCTACTTATAATGATTTCATACTACGGTATCAATAGTTTCCCCCCCCCCCAGCACTTCCCAAAACCCACAAGAGTATATTGACCATGTGATGTAATTATAGCCTTGTATTTTTAGGTATCTATAATTACAGGATAACTAATAATTTGTCCAAAGATTTTGAACTCCATCATCAGTGGCAGAAGAACCACCAAAGTTATTCTCCCCCCCCCCCCCAGGTAGCCTAACAGCAGAGAAGGGGGTGACAGAACAGGATGGTCAGAATCCATCCTGGATCCTGAAACTTTTTAAGGTGCTGCTACTGTTACTGTGCCAGCTTACATAATAGAACATGAATTGCAAGGGGGGGAACCCCATATACGAGCTCTTCCTAATACTGGAATATCTGGTTAGCCTTATCCAATAGCAGAAGTCACTCTGACAATTGGCTGAAAGGTCTATCGACCCTGATGTATAGGATTGCACTGTACCATTCCTTAAATGGAAATATACCCAGATCTTTGCAACTCCCCCCTCTTCAGATGTAGTCAATCCAGTAGCTCACCCCTCTTAGCTCACCCCTCCCTATTCTTTGCTTCCCAGGTCCAGGAAGAATCTCTTGTTTTAAACGCAAGCATATGGACTTACAATTGGAGCCATTCTCTGGCCAAAAATGTGCACTTCTATGGCTCCCCCCCCATACTACTACAAAAGCTTCCCATTTTGAATGCCTGTGACATAACCCTTCTGCTCTTTGTCCTTGCATCACTTTTTTTATTTGACCACTTGATTGCTTAGACTACTAACCAAGGAACTGGATTGTTGAGCTGGACTTGTCAGATAGGTAGTCACAATCCTAAAATATCACTCTATCCTTCTATCCACTTTCTTGGGTGGAGCATATGTTGCTTGAATTTGACAGTTCTTCAGCTAGGAACGTGTAGCAATAAGAAGCTACAGAAAACCCATCAGAGTAATCATATATCCCCACCAAACACAACCTTCTCTTATTTGAAGGGCATCCTGGAACCTTGAAGAGCCATGAGTTTAAACAAGGTACTGAAACCCTTTCCTTTATTTAATTAATTTGTTTATTTTTATTTATATGCTGCCCTCCCCGTGAGCGGGCTCAGGGTGGTTTACATCAATCTTAATATAATACAGTTAAAACACTTAAAAATAACAATGTAAAAACAGAATGGAATCATAAATACAATGTAAACAGACTAGATCAGATGTCAATCAGGTTAACTAAGGTGCAACAGTTGGTACCCCAGGCCACTGATGGGAGATTGGCCATGAGAGGGAAGGGGCATCTGCCACCTCAACCAAAAGCCCGCTGGAAGAGCTCCATCTTGCAGGCTTTGTGGAACTGTAGCTGATCCCACACAGCCCTGATCTCATATGGGAGCTCATCCCACCCGGTAGGTGCCAGGGCCGAGAAAGCCCTGGCCCTGGTCAAGGCTAGTCGAACATCCCTGGGGCTGGGGACTGTTAAGACATGTTGATCTGTGAAATTCAATGCCCAATGGGGCTCATATGGGGAGAGGTGGTCTCAAAGGTATGCTAACCCCCCCGGCCATATAGGACCTTAAAAGTTAGCACCAGAACCTTGAAACGGATCTGGAATTCAATGGGCAGACAATGCAGTTCGCACAGCACTTGGTGGATATGAGCCTGCACAGGCATCGCCATAAACGCTCGTGCTAACATGTTCTGCACTAGTTGTAACTTCCAGAGCAGAGTCAAGGGCAGCCCCACATAGAGAGAGTTACAATAGTCCTGTCTGGAAGTGACCATTGCATGGGTCACTGTAGCTAAGTCCCAGGGGGTAAGAGATGGGGCCAACTGCCTGTTCTGCCTCAGATAGAAAAAGGCAGATCTGGCGATGGTGGGTGACCTGGGCCTCCATAGAAAGGGAGGCATCCAGGAACACCCCCAGCCTCTTCACCCTCGACGTTGGCACCAATGGAGCCCCATCAAAGGTTGGGAGCCTGATTCCCTGACTCAAGCCAATCATTTAGTTTATCTTTTCTTTATTTCCTTCAACAGACTCAAAAGCAAGCCTGGCTACAGTTATCATGCATAAGACAATAACTTTGTTTCCTACTCATAAATTGGAGAAGGGACTGTGCGCCAGCACCACTATTAGAAGGAATGAGGGAACTAGGCTTGCTGGGTACCTGAGGCATTTTAGGAACCAGATTTGGCCAATCAGGTGGAGGCCATTGGCATTCATACAAAAGCAGTTCTGCCTCCATGGAAGCAGAAAACTGGAAGTGAAACAACTGCCCTGTCACTAGTCTACCATGACCTCACCCCCACAACAAAATGAAGAAGGGAGAGGTAGCCTGCCTAACCAATTGGCCAGATGCCTCTTCCCTCACTTCACCCTTCGGTCACTGAACGGGCTTAGTCCTGATAGGAGGGAAAGCCATCACCTCCAAGGTAGGCATCCTGGTGCTCTTAGTGAACATTCTTCCACTGTTCGATAGCCAGCATCTTACTCTGAGTCCCCCCTTGCTCCCACCTTTGAATTGATTAGCTGGTCAACCCAAGATGAGCAGGAATTTGGGGGGAGGGACATCAAATTGGCCTGACAATGTGCCCTTTTTCCTCCAGCTTCATACTGTCTATCTTGATGCTAATATGTTGCTTAAATAGGCCTCATCCCAAGGATTCTTCCAACCCTAACTAGGTTACTAGAAAGGTGCAGGTCAATAGGAGATAGGCAGGAAAACTTGACAAGCACTCTGAGGAAGCTATTGATGAAGGGAGTTCACCAAGCTGGCCACTTATTGGCTATAGGGGGCACAAGGGGGGGTTTCCTTGAGGCTGAACAGCAGTCCCCTAAACCCTGGCTGCTGTACAGCATGAGGAGATGGCAGTGAGGCTTAGCATCTCTTGGCACAATTCTGTTCAGGAACAAGGCACAGAAGCATTAGCTGCAATGAGTTTGGAGCTGGGGGGGGTCGCCCTTACACAGGCGGACTTCAGTGGCCTGGTTTTAGCTGACCGGCACAAGTTGAGGGAATGGAAATTAAATAAAACAAATAGTTTGCCGATGAAGAGTTTTCAATCTGGTGTTGGCAGGGGGAATTGCCAGTTTATTCTGCATCCAGTGCTATGTCTTCAAGGCTCAGAAGAGTGATTCAGCTCAGTACATGCTGAAAAGATGCAGAAAATTCAACTTGATTATCTCTCCACGTTATGTATATCCCAGAGTGTTTTAGTGCATGGGAGAAAGAGAAAAAAACTAAAACAAAGTTCATTTGGGGGGGGGAGAACATAGCCTTTGGGTCAAAGTATCTAACTGAACCATATTTATGTCCACTAATGTGGTCAATCCCTTTCTTATACAGTTGCAGCAGCCTGGATGGATATACTAAGCAGATCTGCTCAGAATAAGTCACATTACATTCAGTAGGGCTTACTCCCAGGAAAGGGTTCATAAGATTGCAGGCTAACTGATCTGGTTCTGTTTTCTTTCTTGTGATCCTGTGGAGCCCAGGTGCTCTTCCTATCCAAACAATAGCCACATTGATATCAAGGCAAGTTATGCCAAGGTGGGACAAAGATGTTTTCTTCAGTGTATTTTCAGTCCCCCATTTTCGCACTAATTTCAGTCCTCTGGGGAGATGGCTGTGAACCTAGTAATTATCTCAAACCAGTATGATCCATCCTCCATTGTTCAGAAGACTTTGCAAGTTATAAGTGTAGGAAATATCCACCCCTGAAAATTATAAAATACCCAACAACCATTTGAAGGTGGGGATATGAAGGATGTGGACACACAGGGCCTGCCAGTCTGATCTTGATTTTAGGCCAGGTCTTGGAGGTTGTAATGTAAGATGACCGCAGAGTTAGATAGAAAAGAAAGAACTATGTGCAGCTGAGAGAAGGATGATTGTCCTTGAAAATGCTAGGGATTGTCTTGACACTGCTTTTTCTGTGGTTGCTTCTGACCTCTGAATCGGAAGGCAAGTCTTCTGCTGCTATGTGTTCTATGAACAACCCCCTCCAGATCAAACACCAGCGTTATCAGCCAGGGGACCTGATCATTGGAGGAATCACTTCTCAGCTCTTCATGCCTTCCTACTCTTCATTTCTCTTCACTGAGAACCCCCAGGAAGTGATTACCGATGAACCTATGTAAGGAAATCATGGCATAATGGTATATCAATAGAATAATATTGAATGTGTATGTAAAGTGTTATGTGCAAGCTCTATTGCTTGTCCTTGTGTAGAAAGGACCAACATATCATTCTCTGCATTAGATATTTGTGTATTAATAGAAAAGAGAGGGACAGGGTTTTTGAAGATGTTTATGCATCTTGTGCCTCTTGCTTTAGCTTCATTCTGAAGAGCTACCAGCATGTCCTGTCCTTGGTGTTTGCTGTGAAGGAAATCAATGAGAGCCCCCAGATCTTACCCAACCACACTTTGGGGTTGCACATTTATGAAAGCTATTTCAATGCACGGATCACTTATCAGAATACTCTGAACCTTGCCTTTACTGAGAAGAAGACGGTCCTCAACTACAAATGTGACACTTGGAATAATCTGGTTGCCGTGATCGGGGGCCTGGACTCTGAGACCTCTCTCCACATGGCCACCATTTTAGGTATCTACAAGACTCCACAGGTACGCTCTGCATGCAGAAAGAGACTGTTTCAC